AAGCAGATAAAACATCGATATTCACAGTCGTCGAATAAAGACAGATTCTAACTCGTCTCATTAAGCAAACCGCAATTCAAAGTCGGAAGATTCATAGACGTTCACCGAGACTCTTCCACTTTGATCACCAGGAACACCTGGTCTCAACGTTCAAACTGCACATTTTCTGTTTATATTAATCACGGTGCACGTCTAGTTCAAAATAGCGAAGGTTCGCGAATGATTCATAGCGATTCGTAGATATTCAGTCAAATTCTGTCACTCTGATCTCCAGGAACACCTGGTCTCTACGTCCAAACTGGACACTTTCCGTGTAAATTGATTACGAGACACGTCTACTTCAAAATCGTGAAGATATGACAATGATTTATAGTGATTTATAGAGATTCAGACAGACTATTTCACTTTGATCTTCATGAACAACCGGATTTGAACGTTCAAATTGGACATTTTCTGTTTAAATTGATCATGGGACACGTCTACTTCAAAATGGTGAGGATTCGCGAATGATTCATAGCGATTCATAGTGATGCATAGACATTTAGTCAAACTTTGGTCTCTAGGAATACCTGGTCTCTTCTGTGTAAATTAACAGCCAGGACACATCTACTTCAAAATCGCGAAGATTCGCGAATGATTTATGGAAATGCTGTCAAACTCTGTCAATTTAAATCTCACGAACACCTACTTTGATTATCCAAACTATGAACTTTCAGTTTGAAGAAATCACAGTACATGTTTAATTCTAAATCACAAAGATTCGTGAAAAATATCTAGAAGCTCCGTGGAATTTTGCATCCTCAAAACACTGTCAGACTCTTCTACTTTCATCCTCATGAACGCCTGGTCTGATTATCCAAACTATGAACTTTCAGTTTGAAGAAATCACAGTACACGTTTAATTCTAAATCACAAAAATTCGCGAAAAATTCCTGGAAGATTCATAAAACTTTGCATTCACTAAACACAGTCAGACTCTTCTACTTCGATCCTTATAAACACCTAGTCTAGGCTTCTAAACCAAGGATTTTGCATTTAAATCGATCACGATGCACGTTTACTTTAAAATCATGAAGATACGTGAAAGATTCGTAAAATATTCGTAAAATATTCCTGGAAGATTCATCAAATCTGCAATTTACAAAACACAGTCAGACTCTTCTATTTCGATCATCATGAACACCTGGTCTGATCATCCAATCAGTTTGAAGTAATTATAGTACACATGTAGTTCAAAATCATAAAGATTCGCAAATAATTCATGGAAATGCTGTCAAACTCTGTCAATCTGATCCTCATGAACACCTGATCTGATTATCCAAACTATGGACCTTCAATTTCAAGAAATTATAGTACGCGTTTATTTCAAAATCGCGAAAATTCGCTAATAATTCATGCAAATGCTGCCAAACTCTGTCAAATCTGATCCTCATGAACTCCTGATCTGATTATCCAATCTATAGGCTTTCAGTTTGAAGTAATTATTGCACACGTCTAGTTCAAAATCACGAAGATTCGCTAATAATTCATGCAAATGCTGTCAAACTCTGTCAATTTGATCCTCGTGAATACCTGATCTCATTATTCAAACTATGGACTTTCAATTTGAAGAAATTATAGTATACGTCTAATTAAAAATCACGAAAATTCGTAAATGATTTATGGAAATGCTGTCAAAATCTGTCAATTTAAATCTGACGAATACCTACTCTGATTATCCAAACTATGAACTTTCAGTTTGAAGAAATAACAGTACACGTTTAATTCTAAATCACAAAAATCCTAATGATTTATGGAAATGCTGTCAAACTCTGTCAATTTAAATCTCACGAACACCTACTTTGATTATCCAAACTATGAACTTTCAGTTTGAAGAAATCACAGTACATGTTTAATTCTAAATCACAAAGATTCGTGAAAAATATCTAGAAGCTCCGTGGAATTTTGCATCCTCAAAACACTGTCAGACTCTTCTACTTTCATCCTCATGAACGCCTGGTCTGATTATCCAAACTATGAACTTTCAGTTTGAAGAAATCACAGTACAAGTTTAATTCTAAATCACAAAAATTTGATTTATGGAAATGCTGTCAAAATCTGTCAATTTAAATCTGACGAATACCTACTCTGATTATCCAAACTATGAACTTTCAGTTTGAAGAAATAACAGTACACGTTTAATTCTAAATCACAAAAATCCGCGAAAAATTCCTGGAAGATTCATAAAACTTTGCATTCACTAAACACAGTCAGACTCTTCTACTTCGATCCTTATAAACACCTAGTCTAGGCTTCTAAACCAAGGATTTTGCATTTAAATCGATCACGATGCACGTTTACTTTAAAATCATGAAGATACGTGAAAGATTCGTAAAATATTCGTAAAATATTCCTGGAAGATTCATCAAATCTGCAATTTACAAAACACAGTCAGACTCTTCTATTTCGATCATCATGAACACCTGGTCTGATCATCCAATCACTTTGAAGTAATTATAGTACACATGTAGTTCAAAATCATAAAGATTCGCAAATAATTCATGGAAATGCTGTCAAACTCTGTCAATCTGATCCTCATGAATACCTGATCTGATTATCCAAACTATGGACCTTCAATTTCAAGAAATTATAGTACGCGTTTATTTCAAAATCGCGAAAATTCGCTAATAATTCATGCAAATGCTGTCAAACTCTGTCAAATCTGATCCTCATGAACTCCTGATCTGATTATCCAATCTATAGGCTTTCAGTTTGAAGTAATTATTGCACACGTCTAGTTCAAAATCACAAAGATTCGCTAATAATTCATGCAAATGCTGTCAAACTCTGTCAATTTGATCCTCATGAACACGTGACCGGATTATCCAAATTGTAAACATTCGGAATAAAGAAATTATAGTACTCTACTGGTTTAAAATCGCGAGGACTCGCTAAAAATTCCTGAAAGCTCCATAAAATTTTGCATTCTCAAAACACTGTCAAACTCTTCTATTTCGATCCTCACGAACACCAGATCTGAACGTCTAAATCGTGCACTTTCCGTTCGAATCGATCATGCTACTCGACTAGTTCGAAATCGCGAAGATTCCTTCAAGATTCCTGCGAGATACCTGGCAGACTTGGGACATTCGGCTTAAACCTGCCGAGGATTTATGAATCCAGGGAGCGAACGCGAGGGAAGACGAGTCAGATATCGAGTTTCGCGACTAGAGCCATTCGGTCTGCGTAGGTGCCAGTCTGCTCGACGAAAATAGATCGAATTCACACGAGCTGTACGAGCCGATCGCACGAAAGCCCCGGCTACCCTTCGCGCTATCGATCCTCCGCTGTCCTACCGATACCCCTAATCCTGAATTTCCATTTCTAACCCGTTCCACCACTCTTCCGCTAATTCCTCATACTATTTCCGTATTCCCAAAACACGCAAAAATTCCCAATTATGCCTCCCTTTCTCCCATTTTCTGTCAAATTAAATCACACACTTTGGACGCAATAAGATTCTTCCATTTGGTGCCCACATTTTGGGACTTATTGGGTCACCTACGTCTCGAGTATAACAGGACCGATGAGAGATAAGAAAATGGTCGCGAATTGGAAATTAGCTCGCCTTTTACATATATTCCAGCGATTAGAATTCGCTCCCGAACGTGGTCCACGTATGTTGACACCGTTTGGCCTATTTGCGATCCAAACGAAACGGAATCGATCACAGATAAGACAGACAAGGACGCAATAGTACATTAATAGTCGAGTGAACGAAATTAGGCGAGTTTCCATCACCTCCATTACGAAATATATCAATTCCAGGAGTGGATCACGCTTCCAGAAAATTATTTCGTCCCTTCGCATACCCTAGGAGCTAAAAATCGCTTCGTTTCTACCGGGACCCGGTGTTTCGAGATTATTGCGATTATCCGTGACTCACGCGCATGGCAGAATCGATTATAAATACGACGGACAAGGACAGAACGGCGTATGTTAATGATCTTGTGTAATTTCTGTACACTCGATCAATCGAACACCGTTCCGTTCACTTTTCCAAACAATCCTCGGTTTTCGCGTCTATCGGGTCGTTTGCGGTAACCACGGCTCGCACACGTGTGCGCAGATGGTCACGAAAGTGACCCGCGTCGCGCACGTTCCCTTTCGAATCGTGATAAATCAAAATTGCACACTCGATCTTGCGACTATTAATCTTGCATATCTCGATAGAGGACTAATTTATCATTGCAAATTGTTAACTAATTTGCTAATTTATTGTTAACTAATTTATCTTCTTATTATCCTAAATATACTTTGGATTATCGTCCCAAAAATTAGAGAACCCCTCGTTCCAATTATTTATCAGAGAATTAACCTACTCGTGATTCGAATATACCAGGTGGACCAAAAAATTTGGTGTCCTAACACGACCAGCGGTGGCCATTTTCTAAAATTTGGTAAATCGATATTAATTGATATCAATTGATTTTTATCGATGGCCCAAAATCGAAATAACGAGGTAAAATAATCCCAGGCTACAATTCCTTACGGGAGCAATTATAATCCATTTTGAGGTTAGGTTTGCCGAGGGTTAAAGAACCGTGCTAGATCTCCTGGATCGTCTGTGACCCAGGCAGGAGAGGCTCGATCACGGATACGCGCGCGACAGAGAACGTTAACAGGAAATTATCTTGGCCTTGTTTTATCTTGCATTCTGATGACTGCATCTGCGTATCGCGAGAAACACATAACTCCGTTGCACCGGCAGCGCGTATTAATTAAGCGGCGAGGAAACGATCAAGGACACGGTTTTACGAGCCAGACAGGTGCACTAGCTTCTCGGCCGAGTCATCGGTTTCCTGCACGAGCGAGGAACGAGAGGAAGATTCTACTTCTTCTTCTTCTTCTTCTTCTCCTTCTTCTTCGTCTTCTTCCTCTCGCCGAATCGCGTGTTCGATCCTCGCGCCGGATCGAAGAAGTACACCGAATCGGGGTACAGGACGCGAGTGGTACTCAGCTTAGGTACTTACCAGGCGTCGTTTCGGCTTGATGAGAGGTCGGTTCTGGCCGTTCATCTTGTAGTAGAGTCCACAGGCGTTGCAGAGGTAGTGGCCGGTCCCGTCCCGTCTCCACAGAGGCGTCGAGGTTGCGCCGCAGTTCACGCACTCGCGGCCCTCTATGGGATCGCACCGTGGAAACCACGAACAGATTAATCTCTCGATAATCCAAGCGTTGACGTTTCGAGAGAAGCTAGTAAGTCGGGTGATACCGGTCCAACCGCGCGTCGAATTCTCCTCGGATCTTGACAGTTCTTGACAGCGTTTAGCTCGTTCGTGCAAAGAACGCGCGTGTTTACATCCCCACGGCTGATTAACTCCACTGACACGCATAATCACAGGCAGTGACAACGACTATTGACCGAATATAGCGAATTTACTCCATTGACATTCATACGCAATGACAGCTGTTAGCCAAAAAACGGTGAAAACGATCATCAGTGATGATGCCGAGGACAATGGAGTGTCAGAGAAGTTGATCAGCAGCGAGAATGCGAAAATACTGTGACTTGTTTATTCCAATGCACAGTGCTTTGTTCATTTATGCCATGTTCTACGCTTTATGCCCTAATCTGGAGAATTCGACGTGGTTTGACCGACACCTGGGTTGAAAGAAGCTCGAACACGCTGGCTCCTGGATGTTGCTCACCAGGCAGAGTGAAATAGAGATATTTAGAGAGAGATCGGGAGAATTGAACGATCTCGATGCAGACAGGAGGTGGGTTCGAGGAGCCAGCGTGCCCGACGCGGACACCAAGTCACGAAGATCGGTGATGGAAGTCGCATGCAGTTGCAGACATACCATATCAAGCGATTACCAGAGCAAAAGCAGAGTCTCTTTAGGACCGTGGCCGTTCGAAGGACTCGTGGATCGAACACGATCGTCCGATTGCGGCTTGTTAATAGCGGGACGACGAGTTGAGTTGGAGAGGTAGGGAAGAAGACGTGGTACCATTATCATTAGTTCTAACCCCAGCGGACGGTAGAGGGACAGAGACAGAGAGGGGCAAGGTGTCGGGAGGGGAAGGATATGGGTTCTGATCCGATGAAGGGACAAGAATTTTCCTCGAACCGTGAAATCCGCGTCTCTCGAAGTGGTCCCTCGAGCTGCATCCTCCTCGAGATTGGACCGAGCGTTCGCCATGACTGGAAAAGATGCCAAGACTGCGTTCCTCCGCGTCGAATCTCGCGCGACCGACGTGGCCAAGGATTCGAGAACTCGTCGGCGTGAGACTTGGGGCAGATTATTTTGAAAAAGAAAAAAAAAAAAAGAGAGAGAGGAAAGAAAAATGTTCACGTTGGATCTATAGCGTCGGGGGGGCAAAGGGGTACCGCGTGGAGGCTACCACTCGGGCTGCTTTTAATCGCGAACGTGGATCGTTAACGTCTCGGTGCCGAGGAAATTACGTTTACGAGAAAGAGGCGGTTTATTTCGACGAAAAGCCGAGCTCTGCCGGGGGAACGAGAACGAAGGAAGCCGGCTGCCTCGTGCCACTTTTGCCATAAACGGATGAATTATGATCCAGGACGAGGAAACCGGCGTTCCGTCACGAATTTGGCCCGGTCTTCTTTTCTTTTTCCCCCACCCTTCGTCCTCCTCGCGAGCTTCGAATTTTTCGACGAAACCCACCGGGATCAAACGGTTCCCTCTCTGACGAGAGGTGAGAGAAAGAGAGAGAGAGAGAGAGAGAGAGAGAGAAAAAAATGAGGGAAAAAGGCGCGAATCGCGTGTGTGGGAGAAAAGCAAGAAGAAGATGGCGGCCAGGCGAGCTAATTGGAATTTTCACTTGCGGCAAAAACACGCGTCTTCGTTAACGATTAATTAATAAAACCATCAACGGCAGAGAGATCTGGCCGGCTATTAGCAAGAAGAAACGTTCTAACGAAGATGAAAATTATACGTACGAGGTAACATCGACGCGTGACTCTCGCGAATTAGAAATGCTAAATTTTTACTTTCGACGATAATTTCGCGGCAGGGAAAAAAAGAAAGAGAGACAGAGAGAGAGAGAGAGAGAAATGGAAAAGAAAGGGGGCTCGCGCGGCGAGAGAAGGCGAGGATTAAGCAGGCCGAGATCCACGGATTCGTCTGGCCTCACCGTCGTCGAGGCCTGGCGCGCCGTGTGTGTCGTAAGTCGATTTAATTAGCGGACTTCCACGCCGCGAAGTCGGGCCATTGTTCCCGGAATTAGGATTTTTACCACGCCGTCCTCGCCGCAGACCGGCTATTATTACCGCAATCAACGTATCCGGCATTTTTCAACCGTTTCATTCCCATTCCCCTACCCCGCCCCCACTCCCGGCCGCCCCTACGACCGACACCGACGACCCACATTCGTCCTTTTCCCCGATTTTCCGCCGATTTTCATACCGATCTTTTACCGATTTTTGCCGATTTTTTACCGATTTTTTGCCGATTTCTTTACCGATTCCGAGCAGTAACCTCGTCAAGCTTCGAATGACAATAATCCCGAGAGTATTCCCGTTCGAGTGGCCGAGCGACGAGTAAAAGCACCGGTTGATCGGTCGGACTAATGCCTTCGAGTCGGGAGAAAAATCGCGAGAGAAAACGCGACTACTGGGGGAGGGGGGTCCGTAGACTCTTCTCGAGAGGGAGATTTGATGCTAGTGAGAAGAAAAAAAAACCAAAAAAAAAAGAAACGAAAAAAGTATAGGGAAAAACGGTAGCATGTAAGTAGCCACACCACATCGAGATAGAGAGAGACAGAGAGATAAGAATGAACGAAAACAAGGTACGTGTGTGCTGGATCGCCCGCGCGTGTGTGTACACGTTGTGTGTCTTACACCTGTGTATTTATAAAAATATAGATCTATACAGAGAGAAGGGAACCGGGGAGAGGGACGCGTCTGACGAAAAATCTTGTCCTCGACAGTGATTGGACGTGCAAAATTTATAAAATTTGAAAAACTGACAAGACTTCGACAAGTTTGCGAGAATATAGGAGGGAGCGTCCAGACGCCCCCCGTAACCCCGGTGTCCCGCCCTGTGCTTCGTCGAAAAATGGTCAATCAGGTGTGGTGCTGTTCACGCTCGACGTCTCGCGGGTGCCACTCAAAAAACACATGGGTGAGGCAAAAATACAAAAATACACGTCGGTGTAGTCTCCCTCTCGCCGACAATACTCGGCTCGTTTCGAGAAACAGTAACCAAAGGAAAAGAAAAATAAATATATATATATATATATAAATATACGTGTTCTTCGTTTTCACGAACTGTAAGCGAAAGACGACCGCCACCAAAAGCTCGTCGGGGATGATAAACTAAACGAAACGAAACGAAACGAAAGGAAACCGAAAGAACGAAAAAGAAGACCCTCGGTTCCTCTGCCCCCGAGTTCCTCCTGTTCCCATATTCCAGGAACGAGTGCCGGAGGAATATCGATTGGCGCGAGGAACTTGGAGCGTGGAAAAAACCAAGGGAAAAATACCGGGTGTGACAAAAGTGAAAGCAAACGTAGGAATATAGGAACTCAAAGCGAAAAACGCGACAAGCAAACTTAAGGGGAAAAAACGAAAAGCGTTAGTACCAAAACCAAACAGGGGAAAAGGGAAAAAGAAAGAACCCGAAACCAGAGGTGTACCAAAACAAAGAAAGGAAGATTAACCCTTTTCAGTCCCAAACAGCGCCATCGCGCTCTTGAGGTTTTGCATCGAAAAATCCCAGTACATTTCGAGAACTATGGACAACTCACGGTGCTACGACTGATTGTTGAAATGGCGCGCTCAACTTTGCTGATGCACGTAAGTAAGTAACAAGCGCTATGGGGATTGGGATTTTTCGACGTAAAATTAAACAGGCGCCATCGCGCTGCTCGGCGCTTTTCGACCGTGATCTTTTAACCCTTTCACTACGAAAGACGTATATATACGTCTTCACAAGTCTGTCACTAAATACGAAAGACGTATATATACGTCATCACAAATTTATCAATATACAGGAAAGACGTGTATATACGTCCTCACAAATTTGTAAATATATACGAAAGACGTATATATACGTCCTCGCAAATTTATTAACCCTTTGCACTGGACGATTTTTTGGCTAGAGAAGAGTGAAGATTCAAAGATTCTGTACTAACAAACTGACGATACTTTTTTGAGCAGTAGATAGAGAATCGTATAATAATATAGAATATGAATTGTAGAATTATTTGACTTCGATACTTCGCACACTGTTACGTTACATTAAATTTGATATGTTAATTAATATCGATCTTCCGATTTTATGAAATGGTGACTGATGATGACTGACTCTCCAGTGCAAAGGGTTAATATATACGAAAGACGTATATATACGTTCTCGCAAGTTTATCAATATACATAGGAAAGACGTATATATACGTCCACGCAAATTTATGAATATACAACGGAAAGACGTATATATACGTCCTCGAAAATTTATCAATATATAGGAAAGACGTATATATACGTCCTCGTAAATTTATCAGGATATAGGAAAGACGTATATATACGTCCACGCAAATTTATGAATATACAAAGGAAAGACGTATATATACGTCCTCGCAAATTTATCAATATATAGGAAAGACGTATATATACGTCCTTGTAAATTTATCAGGATATAGGAAAGACGTATATATACGTCCTCGTAAATTTATCAGGATATAGGAAAGACGTATATATACGTCCTCGCGAGTTTATCATTATACGCGAAAGGCGTATATACACGCTTTCACAAGTCTATCAATGTATACGAAAGACGTAAATACACGGCTCCCTACATTTTTCTTACACTTTTGCAATTTTACCAATTGATTCCACCTGAAATATAACATAGCAATTGATCCGTGAATGGTGAAACATCGCGCGTTCTGTACGGATGATGTACCGCGGTGAAAGGGTCGAAAGCCTGTGGGACTGAAAGGGTTAACGGAAAAACCGGAAAAGACTGGTGCAAGCTTGTCCCCTGCCTGGCGACGTTAGCGGTCTCGTGGAACGAGAGCCGGACGACGGCCGGGAGAAGAGGGACAAGGCAGACACACGGTGCTCGAAAACCGGGATACCGACAGATAGAAGGCGAAACGAAAAGGGAAAAGAAAGAAAAGGTAAAGAGAAAAGAAAAAAGTAAAGGGAAAGGTTGGTAGGCGTGCCGCTTACCGGCGGACGTCCTCGACTTGTTCCTGGGCTTTTGCTGCTGCTGCTGCTGCGCGGAAGGCGAGCTCGGCGTGTTGGCGTGCGCGTGACCGACCAACAACTTCGAGTCGACGTTAACGCCGGCCACGCCGGACGCGTTGCCGGCCCCGGCGGCGGCGGCGGCGGCGTGATGCCCGAAAATACCGGAAACCGCGGTCCCGTTGTGCGGATTGTGGGACGAAGACGAAGAAGACGACGAGGAGGCGCCGTGATGATGGTGATGGTGATGGTGGTGGGTACTACTAGGATACGGCAGGTGCTGGTACATGTTATACGCGCTGGTTGCCGGGTCGTACTGGGATCCGGAGGTGGCATGGTGGGTGTTGGAGGCAGCCGCGGCCGCGGCTGCGGCGGCGGCGGCGGCTGCGGCCGCGTAACTGTCCCTGCAGGTCGGCGAGCTCGCACCACCGCCACCACCGCCACCACCGGCCGCCACTTGGTTTCCCTGATACGCAGCCTCTTGTTGCTGCTGCTGCTGCTGCTGCTGCTGCTGTTGCTGCTGCTGCTGTTGCTGTTGCGCGGTGCTCGCCTGTTGGCTGCCGGACACGCTGCCCGACTGGTTATTACCTTCGCGCTGCTTCACCTGTCCGCTCGCCCCGCCGCCATTCGTCCCGTTCCCGGCGTTCCCGCCGTTCGTCGTCCCGTTGTGTTGTTGGTGCGGCGGCGACGGCGCTCCGTGATGGTGGCCCAGCATCACGCTAGGCTTCACGTCGCACGAGCTCGCACCCCCGGCACCCAACGCGTCCTGATGGTGCATGAACGCGCCCATCACCGCCGCGTGGGCCACCGCCGCCTGGTACTCGCTGCTCGCCCCGCCACCCAGGCCCGACAGCGGGTTCCCGTTGTTGTTGTTGTTCCCGCTGCTGCTGTTGTTGTTCGTCGTGCTGGAGGTGGTGCTCGCGGTGATGCTGTCCGGGGTCGCGTCCTTGGGCGGCGTCGGCGGGAACGAGAAGAGATGATGGCCGGCACCGGCGCCGCCGTGACTCGACAGGCTGCCGGTGCTCGGAGGCAGGGACGAGCCTAGAGGGCTCTGCGGTTTGTCGTCGCTCACCGCGCCGCCGGTCGAGCCGGTCGTCGTCGGGAATCCCCAGGGTGTCTTCGAGGTGTCCGCCCCGCTCCCGGACAGCCACGGGTGCAGCACCGAACTGTGAAAGTGCGGCCGACAGACCTGGCTCACCGGGCCGCTCGTCACGCCGCTGCTCGACATCCTTGCTGGAAGAACGCACGGAAAGACGGACTGGTTAGACGATCCATTGCCATTCCATTTATATCCCCCGATTACATTTATCCCGGACACGTTCCGCGGCCGGCAAGCGGGAAGAAAGCCACAGGGATAGAGAGAAACAGAGAGAGAAAGAGAGAGAAAGAGAGAGAGAGAGAGAAGGCGCAAAATCTCCTAACGACGATCGTTCACCACGGTTGAAATGGAAGAACCTGATTCGTGCGTGCGCGGAATGATCGGGTTTTACGCCGGATCGTAAAGGCAGCTAATTGCCGGGGACATCTTAATTACGCGCGAGGCCCGCTCTCGCTTGACACGCGCTATCATCGCGATGCTTTTTCTCTCTCTCTCTCTCTCTCTCTCTCTCTCTCTCTCTTTCTCGTGCTTCCTTCCTCCCTTCCGTCCCTCTTTCTTTTTTCCCTCCCCCTGACGCGCAATCGTTCACCCTTGGATCGCCTTGTACGCGCGCGGCTAGACTCCGCCTTCTGGCCGCGTAATTAGCCGTTCATTAACGATCCGCGACGCCGTTCCAGGCGCCTGCCTATCCAGGATTCGCTCGCGTTTCCCCGAACCATCGCGTTCCGCGAAAAGGAATCGTTCCGAGCGCGAATTCGTGACTTCGGGGGTGGCGCGCGCGCGATTCCTGCTTACGTGCTGGTTTCGAAGCGAGAGTCGTACGGGGAGCTTGCGATCGATATATCGAATGGTTCTTGCCGGCGTTGCTCCGCCACCTCGGCGGCATACGCTGATAACGAGCGAATGTTTTGCCAAACTCCACCCCCATCCGCCCGCGCGCCGCGCCGCTGAATTACGAGCATTAATTCGAGCTTCGAGTCGCCGTCACGCTCCGTATTCCTCGCCAAACTTATGGCTCCTGACTCACCGTTGCTTATGCCTATGCCTAACCTCGGCCATCTACGAATTTTCCCCGGCACTCCTGCTCGTCTTTAATTTTCCCGCGAGACGCGCTCGTTAATCGAGATTCTCGCGAGCGTAGCGAAGAGGATTGAAGCGGATTGGCGAGGAGAGGAGCGGAGAGAAGGAATATATCGCGGAAAACGGTCTAAATTTAGGAGCGTGAAACGTAATATCGCGAGGGAGAACGGGACGAGCAGCTGCAGCGTCATGCAATTAATCGAATGCAGCGATGCCCCGCCTGTAATTGGATCTGCTGCATTAGACCGACGGGAAGTAAACAAGAGAGAGAGAGAGAGAGAGAGAGAGAGAAAGAGAGAGACGCGAGCGGCGCGAAAGCTCGACGAACGATTTCGCAAGAAGCACGCGCGCGCGGAGCTTTTAATTCTCGCGATGTGTCCAGTTGGCGCTTCGCAGGCTTGGTAAAAACCGGCGTGCTAAGGGATATTTATCATCCTGCTACCTCGCTGCTGCCCCCTCGACCGCGACTTTGCTCTTTTTCCGCCGCTTCCCGGCCACTTCTCGCCTCTTTTTGCCAGCCGTCTCGCAAGCTGCGACCGCCTCTCGTTATCCCGACGGTAGCCCCATCTTCCACCCACGATCCTCTCGCCACACGGTTCCCCTCTCGGAATCTGCCCCGCCGATCTATCGGCAGATTTCGGCGCAGGATCGGCGAGCGATGGTCGCGACGCCGACGGGAGAAAGGAGAAAAAGGCTCGGAGAGCTAGAGGTCTCGTTAAGGCGGTCTCGAGGAGCTCCTTAGGCGTCGATTCCCAAGGCGGTCGTTTCGAAACAGGTCGCCTCTAATATGGCGCCGCTTTTCCACCTCGCGCTGCCTTTTTTCGCTTTTCCCTATCCTCCGCTTCCACCTATTCCGATGTTAACGAATTTTTTCCCCCGCCATGCTCGCGCATCGGGCAACTGGAAACCTCGGACGAGAAAAACGGGGGACGGGGAAAAAATCGCGACAGAATATCGAGGAAGGACGAGGAAAATATGATCGGTTTCGCGACGGTGAAACCAGTTCTCGCGGAAGGAATTCGACGGAAATCTCGATTTCCGAGACCCGACGTCCTCGAGTGTCTCCGCGCGAGCCGCGATCGAGCGACGATAACGCGGCCGAGATCTACGCGCGATCTAGATCGGACGCATTAATCGCTTACTCGATCGCGACGACTCCAGACTACGCCTACGCCGGCTGGAAATATTCGAGTCGATAAGTCACACCGGTCGGGACACGACATTCCCGCTGTTAATACGATAATCCACTCGTCGGCTGAATATCCGTTATGGCGATCGGCTCGAGGCGGGAAAATTCGCTGGCCGTGCTCGAGCGCCAGGCCATTTTCCGTCCCAGCACATTTTTCCACGCGCCGCTCTTCATCCGCGCCTCTCCATGGTCCGCGCGCGGCTGCGGCGCATGCTAATTCGAGGTTAGAACCGTCGCTTTCGCTCCCGTTTCGACTCTCCGTCTTCCTGGCCGAGGATTCTACGCTCCGAGATAACCAACGAATTTCGTATTCCACCCGTGTCTCCGTTTCTGCGTCCTTTAACGCGGACTCGATAAGTACGTAACGGGACGAGCCCCGGCTTCCGCCATTTTCTACGCCCACGGTCGGTAAATAATTGCAGCGACCATCCTTCTCACCCTCGCCGATAGATGGATTCCTAGTTGATCGAGCTTCCAGCACTTTCTCGCAAGTGCTCGGTCCACACTCCACCTCGTATATATACAAGTTCCTACGCTATCCAATTATCCCTTGTTTAAGGTCGGGCCTACTAAGAATCTTTACTTTAACGAGTCCAATGAAGGCCCAGGGACGGAAAACGCATCATATATATCATATAGTACACAACGACCCAAGGAAACGATCCCCCCCCCCCCCGATCATCATGTCGCAAACCCTGTGGCGGGGATCCCACGTAATAAAATTCGGACTATCTTTGCCGATCGCGTCGGGGAAAGGGAGAGGGGATCCATTCGCGAATTGCGACGTCCATCCGCGCGATTGGACCTTGTTACGCTACGAATTTGTTAAGTTGATGCGCCAAGAGTGGGGGATGAAAAAGAAGCGGGATGAGCCTATGAACCGTGGTTTTGAGAGGCGCGAAATTTCCTCGGGTAGGACGATTTATCCGGTGAATGGAAAGTCGCGCGCGACACATGTGATATCTCCGTTTGGGTCAGCATTCGACATCAAAGCAGCCACTCCAAATAATTAGCCGCCCCGAGCGTGGCCGCCGACTCTGCTTTTGTGCACAGGCGTCGAGAACGCGTTCAAAGGCTCGAAAGGATTCAAAGAGTCGGGCCGCTTTCAAAGGACGAGCCTTTTTCCCTATCGACGTGTTCCGAGCGACGATGTACAGAGAGAGAAAGAGAGGCTAATGAAGAATGAAAAAGGGAAGAGAGGGGGGAAGGAGAGTGGGGGCGAATTCCGGGCCCGTGCTAATTCCAAGACCGGGTGAAACGGATAGAAATTGATTTGAACGGCGGCCATTTCGCGTTTTCCATTCAGCCGAGATCGCCGTTGATAACGCGGCGGCCGGGGTTTCATTCACGGTGAAAATCGCGCCGGGAAAGGAAATCGCGCGAATTATGCGCGATATCTCGTTGGTATTCCGTGGAAGCAACGCGTCGCCTCGACGTTTCCAGCCACGTTTCTAGAGCTCCGGCTAATTATTCCCTCGTTACGTCGCCTGCTGCCACGATCGCGAACCGTCCATCGGATTGAGCCATCCGTCACCCTGCGCGTTTCTAACCTCTCTCCCGGGAGGTAAACGACCCGTCCTCGCGCGGTCGTCCATCGGATCCACGCGATCACGGGCCCCGGGGTTCGGGTGTCCGGCAGGGCCCGGCCGGGGGTTCTCGGGTTCATCGAACGCTACCGACCAAACGCGCGACTCATCTCCCGTCATTAAAGACACGTAAAGACGAAGGATAGTTATTTTCGCGAAAATACTTCGGCACGGCACGTCGTAAATCGTCGAATTACGATGGGAAATAAAAGGGGAAAAAGGAAAGGAGGGCGAGGAGGTGGAGGATCGCCGTGGAAGACCGCGCCTCTGCCGCTCGTAATAAGATTCACCGGCGTGTACGAAATTCCAGGAGAAAATAACGTCTCATTTCGTCGACCGCCACTAGCGGCTTTCTCGTAATAACATGCAATTTCACCCCGTACGCTTCTCCCCCGTCGCTCTATCGATTCTTTTTTCCTCGCCGCGAGCCCTCGTACGCGTTCAGCCCGATTATTCGCCAACCTCTCGTGTCTCCCCGGTCACCGAAACAGGGTTAAATCGCCCTCTCCATCCCCCTATCCATCCCCCTCTCTCCCGCCCCCTTTCTCCTCTTGGTCCCGAGTCCCACGAGCCGGGTAAAAAGGACCGAAATCCCATGGCGATGAAACAAAGCGGGATCCAGGGGTCCAGGAAACTGGCTGACCTCTGGGTAAAAAGCGCGCTGGAGGCAGAGGGCGCGCGTGACACCGAGAGGGGGCTACCGACGAGACTCCGGCTCCGGAGGAACCGTCCTCGTGCGACGGAGGCGAACGGAGAGAGACAAAGAGAGACGAGGAGAGACAAAGAGAGAGAGAGAGAGAGAGAGAGAGAGACGGAACGGCAACAACGAGGAGGAAGATTGATCGCGGCGAGGCTGCATCGCGAGTTGCATCTGCCTCGCGCGAGACTCTCCTCTCTCCGGGGGAGAGAGAGGCTGGCAAGACGAACGCGAGCGGGAAAGAGAGAAAGAGAGAGCCAGGGAGAGGCTCCGCCTTCGGTTGGCGTGTGCATTTGCGCAAGATGGCGGCGGTCGCGCGTTTTGCACGACCTGTGCGCCGCGTCCTCTCGCTCTCGTCTTCTCTCCGCGTTCCTCTCCTCTCCTCTTCTCTCCTCTTCTCTCCTCTCCTCTCCTCTCCTCTTCGCGGCGTCGAAACGCGAACCTTCGCGGTTCGTGCACGGGCGAAACTTTCGCCAGAGGGGGTTCGCGCTGCGCCTCGAGGGGGTAAATAGAGCAATTAAGCAGTCGCGGGTTCGACGAGTGTGTGTGTGTGAGAGAGAGAGAGAGAGAGAGGGGAGAGAG